GGACTCTTGTCATGACAAAAATACCTAATCACAAATCCCTTTTAAACAGTTTTCTTCCCTCATCTGTATCAATGCAGTACACATTATAAACCCATGTAACACAAAAGTAACTTGTAAAATTGTCTTAGTTCCTTTTTAGGCTTTGGTAGAAAACAGTGATCTATGAAGAAAGTTCCTAAAAGTGAATCTGTTAGGTTTTGAATTCAGTGGGCATATTGGTGACTTAAGCTAACTTAAAAGTGACATCTATAGAGATAAAAATTTTGTGTTAGCATGTGACACGACACTGTTTAAAGTCAGAGTAAAGCACTTGAAATTCAGAGTAGCCAATGGAGAAAATAGTGCTTCAAAATTTTAAAACACAGAGTGGCCTAGTGGTAAAAAGCTGCTTTAATCCCAAAGACTCAAGAGTTGAATCAACGAGCATGGGAAAGATGGACAGTTCTCCTGAAATCCACTGGAGGGTCAGCTGTGGGTCAGTTCCAACTCGACAGTACAGAACAACAACAAATTAGGATTCAATTTAGAAAGTTAAAAAAGAAATTGTAGTGCAAAAGAGTTTACTGGTAGTTTACTTAGTGGTCTATATTGTGTATGCATTACTTGAAAAAAATCTTGTATTACTAAAAAAAGCTTTCAAAAACAATGATTGGTATAATTTTCAGGACACAAAAGAACTTTTGATTCATTCTCAGGCCTTTGTGGCATTAATCAGAGTACTGGTCTCCTTAATACTGAGTGATTTGAGAGGCGTGTCAGATGTTCTTTTCTATGTCTATGTTCTTTTTTATGATAAACAGCCATTTTGCTCAAATAAACATGTTTATTTATAAATATAAACATGGATGTTTGTTTAGATCATCCCAAACCTTCACATAGTTGTTGAGATCATGTAGGTGTGTCCTTGTTTAGTAATAGGAAGCATCAAAATGGCTTATGCATCAGAATCACTAGTTCGTCTTCCCTCAAGGGTTAAAGAGTCTCTGGTTAGCATATTTTTAATTTAATATACTTGTGCTGACAAGCTGATAAACCTGGCAATGCAAGACTAGGGAAAAGGATGATGAAGAAGTGTTAATTTAGCCCGTCTTCCATCATTGCTCCCAGCATCCAAGTGAAAAGCCATGGTGGCCCACATTTCAGATGTGTGCGTGTTAATGATCTGAATGAGGGTGAAAGAACTGGGGTTTTTCCCTTAATGTGATTCATGAATTGCTGTCCATAAGGAGTGTTTGTACTGATGAGTCATCTTACCTGAGCCCAGTCATGCCCTTTGTTAACTTAACCTGGAACATAGAAATTCTTGTCACTTTCCCCCTGAGTCAGCCTTCTGTATGGATACTGCTGCCTACGTGAGAAAACTTCTAATTCCACTTGACTGAGTTACCAATCTCGGGGTAAGACTAGATGTCTTGAGTTACATTTCAGTGTAGCTGATCTTCATCATATATATTGTTTCAAAACTTTGCACTGGTCAGGTGTATTTGGAACCCAATACTTTGTTCTCTTGGGTTTCTTGATGGAAATGGAAGGAACTCTGGTGTCACAGTGACTAAGTTCTCTGTTGCTAACTGAACAGTCAGCACTTTGAACCAGCTAGCTGCTCAATGGGAGAAAGATGTGGCAACTGCTTCCATAGAGGTTTACAACCTGTGCAGCCCTGTGGGGTTGTGCCCTGTAGGGTCAGTGAGTCAGAACTGACTCGGAGGCAGTGGGTCTAGATTTTTGTTTGTTTGATGTAAATGGTAGAATTAGGGGTGGTATTCGTCTCTGTTCTGCAGCATTACAAGAAGATACAAGAGCACTGTTTAACATAAAGCTCTTTTGCTACATAAGAAATAGCATTTTATTAGGGCCAAATATAAACCAAATTAGCCAATCTATTTTCTTAATTTTTAATTGAGGGAGATAGAGATCCTCCAAACTCAGCATGCCACATTACCTTGAAGTTCCCTTTCTTACATAATGTAACTCATGCTCCCAACTCCTTAATGACTTTAAGTACTTCTCAGTCTTTTGAGAGGAAATAGTTTGAGTAGCATGTCCACATTTGATTTTCTCAAGCTTAATGTTTTGACTAGTTCTGAGTGTCTGGAACAATATGTCCTGATCGCTAGGACTGTTTTAGAGCTTGCGGTTTTATCTGTTGCATTGCCAAAGAAAGCGTATTGGTTTTTTTATACTCTAATACAAGTTCACTTCTATAGTAGAAGATTCACTCTTCCCAGAATTATTCCACTTGTTTTGTACCACTTACTGTTTGGGTAAACTGGACTAGTTTCAAACTGTTTGCCTTTGTTGTTTAAAAATAGGATATGAGAAACAATACTGTCATTTGATTTGAGCCGTAAAATACATTTTAATATCAGTTTGCATTATATTTAGCAAGTTTGGTTCTGTGAAAAACTAAAAACTATTAAATAATCTATATTAAACTAGGTGTATTTTGTTTTTAGTGACAAACTGTAAAACTAAAGAGATAGGAAAATGTGTCAGCCATGTTATTCTATTGAGGGACACTTAAAAACTGAGCTTGGTACTGTTCAAGTCATAATGTATAAGCATTGTTTCTAGTTAAGCTTTAAGAACTTTTCTGATACTAAGTTTATAGAAAATGTATAAAAGAAATTGATGTTTTGGTTATATTTTTATATTTGTAAAGTAAAAGTTTGATTAAAAGGGTCACTGTCTTTTTTTTTTTTAATTTTGCTGTCATTCAATAAAAAAGAATTAAATTATGACTGTGTGACTGCTTTAGGTTGATCTTCTATGTGGCTTCTAACCTGAGAGTGTGCCGCTAGAAATCCTGCACAGTTCTCAGTGTCATTGGCCAGTAATAGGCAGCTTGGAATTACAGAACCTGAAGACTTGGGACAATGATACTGTCTTTTCCCCATCCATCCTATTCCTCCCTACCTTTAAAAGAGCAAGGGCCTTGTGGGGATGGCCATAACTGACCTTTACCAAATTCACAAAGAGGAACTGTCCCTATCAACAGCATCAATTAAATAAAAAGCTAATTCCCATGAGGTTTGACATGTTCCCTACACTCTTGTATCACTGTCTACTTATCTTGACTCCAATTTTACTGCTCTACTGGGTCCAAAATCTGATGTGATAGTTTACAGACCACACACAACCATGGGAAGTCAAAAGGTTATAATCCAAGTTAGTAACAATACAGTCAGGACAGCTCCTGAAATGTGCTTACAGGCACCACAGCCTTGAACCTCATGGCTTAGGCCAGTGTTACAAAGTTCTCAGTCCTGCGAATTAAGCCCACCCTCCAAGTTGTCCAAAAGACTTTGGCAAAAGCTCTTAGATCCAGTTTCAATGATGTAGTAGTCCCAAAATCCTGTCTCTATTCAGGTCTCTGGTTCTCTGCCTCATGTTAGGTGTGTTTCTCTGTGATCCTGTAGGCCGCCTTTCTTTCTCTTTTGTTAGTGAGGTTTCTTCACCACTGCCTGAGAGGTTTTTTTTTTTTTTTTTGACTGGAAGAGATCCATATTTATTCCCATTCCAAAAAACAGTAACCCAATAGAGCGTTCAAATTATCAAACAATATCACCAATATCACACACTAGCAAAATACTGCTGAAAATTATGCAGAAATGTCTGGAACAGTACATTGACAGAGAACTGGCAGAAGTACAACCTGGGTTTAGAAGAGGTCATGGTACTAGAGACATTATCGGCAATGTCAGATAGATCTTGGTAGAAAGCAGAGTACTAGAGAAATGTCTAACTGTGTTTCATCGACTATGAAAAGGCCTTTGGCTGTGTGGTGCCTGAGAGGTCTTAGTCTGCTGCTGGATTGCTCAATTCAATGGTAGACTAGCCAGTCCCCTTACGGATTGGTGGGACTAACCCATCCCCTTGTGGATTGGTAGATAGCCTATCTACAAAAGCCAATCCCATTGTGGATAGGCTGAAATACCCCATTGAGGGAAGCCAAATATCAAATTTACTAATAGTAGACCAAATACTATATCAAGAAATGAGGGATGCTTAATACAAGCTGAAGGTCATCTTGTGGCACTAAGGTGTTCCCTAAGAGTCAACATTGTTCTTAGTTTGTATCAACTGAATCCTTCCCTCCTGCTATTAGCCTAAAGAGGAACTTGGCCTTATCTGTAAAAGACTTCACCATTATCCTTTGGTTTTGTTTTGTACTTCCTTATGATTTTACTTTGTTTGCCTTCCTTATGATTCTAAATATATACTCAGAGAAGCATGGCTTGGGGCCTTCAGTCTTGGGCGCTGTTGGCCCCCTGTTTTTCACACTCCCTGTTCTATATCATTCTTGGTAGTCTGT